TGGCAAAATAGACGGTTGTGAACCACAAGGGTGGTGCCTGATTGGTTTGAGTTTGGCTCCAAATGTCAAAAGTACCTGGAGGTCTCATGTTCAAATCCAAGAAGGATAAAAATCTTCTTGTGGCCACGGAGGTTCAAATGCGGTGACTCTGGCTATCTGCAAAGCAGTTGGTCGCCCTGGGATTAGTCGGCTCGCATAGCGGGTTGGATATCTAGGTTAATAAAAAACAAAGACGGTTGTGGCACACTGGTTAAGACTCAGGGGGATGTAATGGAAAATCTTATCTACCCTGGGTTCGAATCTAGACGCTACCAAAACCTTTGTGGCCATGAAGGTTCACCTGCGATAACTCTAGATCATTTCTGATCACCGAGGGAGTTAAATCCTTTTTTATACTGATCGATGAATATTGATTCTATTTATTCGTACAATACATGTTAGTTATTTATTTTGTATGTATTATTTTAATTTTTTATATATAAAATAAATATATAAATCATATGGAACTTTATAGCACCTTGTAGGTATGCACTTCAAAAAAAATCAAAGGATGTGATCATAAAGTGGTATGCCTTTTAAATATTCACAACTCTTTCGTATTGAAATTTTGCATCAACTTTATTATTCACATGTGAATCAAGAGTTTTTTGTTTTGTTTTTCAGTTTAAATTATTCACATATAACTTTTTTCGTCATAAGACGTAATCAGAAACTGAAAGCTAGTTATCATTTCGATATGAACAAACGTTCGATTGGTCTGATATTCATCAATTTGTCCCCCTTTTCATCTCGTAAGATATCCTACGTATAATATATAATATGCATATAACTGGTTACAAGGTATTTTAATATAAGAAGTCAGCTGTAATTTATCAACTAATCTAATTGTTCGAAAAACTGTATATGTCGACAAACAGGTCTTACTCATGCCTAGACCAGTTCCAGCATTAACGAAATCTAAAATAAAAATTACAGATTTAAATGAGATTGTTAGGGCTAATTGGGCTTGAAAATGGTCTTTAAGGAGCTATGATCGAGAATAATCTCATAAATTAGGCCCATCTGTGTGTTCCTTATCCCCGTTATAATTAGGGATGTTCGTTGAACAATGAATCAAACGATATCTTCTACGATACTGCTTTTTATATATGTGTTTCTATAACTTGCTAAACCTTCGTTTTTGTAAACAACAATGTTTTTGTTCCAGTATTCTTAAAAACAACGAATTCAAGTACAATAATTCAAAAAGGCAGCAATAAGAACCATTTTCAATCATGATCATGGTGGGAAGTTGAAGATATCTCGTATCTGTTGAAAAATGTGTTTTTCTCTTTGTGTTAACTTTTGAACTGATGTTTCATTTGATAATATTTTTTAAAGATACATGGTTGATGATTAATCTTATAAAGTTTATTTAAACATAAATGGGGCCCATGAAATGAAATAACAGCTTGACGAACGAATTTTTTGTCACAGACTGTGCTTAATAGATATCTTGAAACGAACCAAAAAAAGGTTACGGTTTTGTTTGATGGTCTATAAAACAACGTCCCGTTATGTATAAATAACATGTTTAAGCATGCACAAGTAGACAAAATGATCATTAGGCGACAACTCAGAGCATGTTGTTAAACACGTCTTGAATTTGTTGATGGATTGCTGGTGTGATCCAACGTGTTTTTCGACTGCTCGTTTAGACCTGAAAAGGTAAATTTGTTCAAAAACCGAATAATGGGCTAAACGGAGCATTCCAGACTTGATTGGGCTACGATTTAACTTTTGAACTACACGAATCAAAATAAATTTATAAAAATTGAAATCAATAAAAAAAAACCAAAAAAGTTATTCGAAATCGACAAGAACACTAAAAAAATCTTCGAAATTAACCAAAAAACTTTAAAAATCCCTTGAAACGTTGTAATTAGGTTAAAAACACATCGGACAACTTTGGGGGCCTTTAGTCTACCTTAAATGTGACCCCATTAGACAAAAATCTTGAATCCGCCACTGTATAAGCGTCTCTTGCCTGATAAAGTCACCATCCTCGGTTACTATGTAAGATTATGGTTAGCAAAATGACCCAGTAAAATTAATGGTAAAGAGTCTCTTGGTCATGTTTGGCAAACATAATTACATAAACCAGCTTATTTTTTAAGCTTACTGCAAAAGTCTCGTTTGGATAGATGAAAACTAGCTGAAAAGATATCTTATTAAAACATTAATTTAAGTAGTGTTTTAATAAGCTTTATGAGTTTTTTCTTATTTTTTTCAAATATGCCCCTAATATTATTTTTTACTAATAATATTATTAATTTTTTTCCAAGAAATAAATATTATAATTAAGCAATCAATAT